ACATTTCTGTTTGAGTCATTCTTTTAGATTAAACATGAAACAATCTCAGTTTATTTGAAAGACTCCCAAAGTGTTGGGTGGTTAATTTTTTTCTATGTTTTTTTCTTTTTGCTTTGGAATAAAGAGCAGAAAAATAATTTTGAGGAGTTATTGAATGTGAGGGGGAGTGTACTTAGCAGCAGAGCTGCAGGCCCCTCTGCCTGTTAGTGTCTTGAAGCTGGAGAGGTGGGGGGGAAAGGGAGATCTGGAGATACCTCATGGTAAGGACTTTACTCTCATGAGTGGAAGACCAGCTTTTCAGGGAATTGACACAAATGGTAGAAAGAGAGAGGTGGATAAAAGGCAATTTAATTAATAAATCAATCAATCTCCCCTTCCCCCAGAGTGTGACTGACACATAATGGGGCATTGAGCCCACGGCAGAATGCTTACAGGGAGCACCAGTACCAATCTCTTCTTCTCCCTACCCTTCCCAAGACCTGCTCAGACTAACAATAGCTGTACTGATGTCCCAGCCCTCCCTTGTAGCTCTTGAAGAGCCATGAAGCAGTTTATTGTCCTTCTTCTGCTTCTCCTTCATCAGCACCTGGAGCAGATTTGGGATCGAGTTGTCTCATTTTCCTCCTTCGCTGTCAGCAGCCGATGTGAAACTCTGCTCCCACTGGGAGCTTTTGCCGTGTGGAGGCACAGGGGGCCTGGAAGACATCCTCTCAAAAATGTAAATACTCACTTGGTGGAGCAGAGATTTCTCAGGTCTGCAAATCCCTGGCAGGTTCAGGAGTTCACTACCAAACGTGGTAGGCAGGGAGATGTCCCTTCAGCACCATGTGGAACAGCTTCCCAGGCTGGGTGCCAACAGAAGTGCCCTCCTGGAGAGGGAGGGGGGAAACTCACCCTTCTTGGGCCCCCCAGCCCTCTTGCTCCCCAGGAGTCACAGCACGGGGCCAGGCAGCAGAGATCTGGTGAGCAATGTGAGCACCTGTGTGTGAGGACTAGCATGGGACAGAGAGCATCCTCCTCCTGTGGGGAGGCAGATGCAGGCAGAGAGCTTGTTCCTCAGAGATGGGACCGGGCAAGGAGAGATGCTCTTCCTCTCAGCTAGAAGAGGTTTTGTAGCAAAATAGCCTGTGAGTCCTGGCAGAAGGTATTTTTATTTTTTTCTTGGAAGAACTAGCAGGAAAATTGTGCAAGCCTTCCTGCTTTCAGGTGACTGATTGAGGTGACTCTTCTCACCTCCCTCCTTCCAGCAGAAAAGGTGATGCTGGTGGCCAGAGGGAGGGAGCCTAGGAAAAGGCACTTCTCTCCTTTTTTTCCCTCTTTTTTTTCCCTGCAAATGCCTCTCCCCAGTTACACAGTGAGGGCAAAGGCTGCACTTATGTGAGGGCAAGTGCTGTGATGGGAGAGCCACCTTTCCCAGTGCTGAGTTAGCCCCATTCCTCACTGGCCGGGCAGGATGCGGCGTGGCAGGGAGGATGCGGCGATGGTTCTCTGACTGTCTCCGCTCCATCAGCCTGATGTGCTGTGACAGTTATGCTGAATTGCTGACCCGAGGGGCTGCGTGGGGCTATTTGTGGAGAGACAAAGCTGGGGGACACCAGGCAGGAGGCCAGGCTGGAATGGCCACACTCAACCTTGGGGCTTCCTTGAGTGATTTGGATGGAAAAGGCACTGTTTGGTGAAGTTCACGGGGAAACCTATGAGAATTCTGGTGCATGAGCAGGCTGGGTTTGGTGGCAGGCATCTGCACAGTGGACAGCAGGCCATCCTCTACTTTTAACATGTTTGCTCTGGCCCCACAGCCCAGATACTCTCTTTTCAGGCAGCAGTTGGGTTCAAGATTTCTTTTTGCAAGGGAAGTATCAAACCATTAAACCAGAGCCCTGAGCTAAGGGCAGCACCCTTCAGCTGCTCTCCTATCAGCCAGGTTTATTTTTATCTCACACCTCCAGCACAGCAGGCTGGGAGCTAGCAGAAGAGAACTGAAGACCTTTAATAATTCATAGCTCCTGCATTTTGCTCCCAGGGATTGGAAAAGTGAGTTGCTGGAAGGACGCTGCCACAAACCTGCTTCATCCACACCGCAGAACCCTGCCTGGGCATTGTGGCTGCTGTGCTCTCATGCTGCTCTGCCCGATGGCCTGTCCCTGCCCAGGGCTTTGTGCAGGAATGTTGGGCTTCAACCAGGGCAGGGGAATGGCATTTGGGGTGGGAGAAAAGCGAGGACATGGCAGTGTGTGTGTGTGTGTCCTCCCCAGCATGCTCGCTCAGGACCTTAATCCTTGGTGTCAGCCCATCGGTGTTCAAACAGCTCCTGGAATAATCTGGGCAGGCTGAGCTCATGGGGAATTTCCCAGACCTCGCAGAAGGAGGGGTTTGCTGCCATATCAGGTGTTTTTCTTTTACTATTAGGACTGGGACATGTTTTGCCTTTGGTTACCAAGTAGAGTTGATCTTTGAGTTGGTCCTGTGCCTGGTGAAAGAACTTTGTCCCCAAAGCCTGAGGTACATATTGGCGAGGTTCTGCAGACCACAGCATCCCTCCTTATTCCCACTCACCTGTGAGCCAGTGCCCACTGAGGATGGGGAGGGCTTTGGGATGGAAGGGGAGCCCTAGCAGTGGAAGAGGGGGTGGTGTGCCTTGCCATGTGCTTGCCTTCCCAACGGAGAAATGCTGTTGAACGGGGCGTTCCACTTTGGAGACCAAACCAGTCCCTCTTCTCACAGCTGCCCTGTGAACACAGGTGTTTCTGGGTTTGGCTTTAGACCTTGTGGTCCTTGGAAGGCTGAGATGCATCTGGAGCATCCACCTTTTGCAGCAGTTGGGGTCCTTCAGGATCTGCTCCCCGTGGATGGAGGAGCTGCATTTCAGCATCTGCTTTGGCAAAGCACAGGGTGAGCCAAGTGTTACAGAGCCTGGTTTGGTTTATGTGCTGGTGACTGTTGCCTTCTGACTTGCTGTTCAGTCTCTGCTCATGGCTTTGCTATCAGGGACAGCCTTTTGGGGCATTGAATTACTTTCAGGGTCCACTTGGTGCTCCCGTCGCATCTGAGTCTACAGCTCTGTGGCACGTGTTGCACAGGAGCTGGAAAAGGCAAATCCAGAAGAGCTTTTGCTCTCTCTGAGCACTGGCAGGCTGCAGCTGGTGCTTCTCACCTTTCCTTCCAGATCCCACTGGGAGCAAGTGGTTTACCAGTAGCCAAATGCTGTCCTCTGTCCTCATGATGCTCTCAAGAAGCTTCCCAACTTTCCTGCAACCTCCTCTGTCTCCTGCCACGGACAGGCTTGTTGTCATCTTACTCTTTAAATATTATCCACCCTAAAATATCCCCAGGATTTGTTCTCTTGGGGAGTACAGAGGAAAATTTACAGGCACATCTTCTAGTTAAACTGAGTGACAGATTTCCTTATCTGTATGGATTGTGCATCGACCACTCTCTGGTGTCTTTGTTTGTACCCATGTGTTTTCTGTGTTGTTTTTTTCCCACTGTGTGCTGTGGCTTGCCTTAATTTGATTGAGTAAACCCACTATGTTGCTGAACTGTAACGAGACATCACTGACTGGGCTATATCGTTCAAAATGGTATGTTCCTTACCCTGGAAGAGTGGGATTTGCTGCAGTGCCTTCTGAGTAGGGCAGACTTCTGCTGTTGGTCTTTTGCAGTCAGGGTGTGCATGAGCTGATCCATTCTAGTTCAGCATCACAAAGAAATGCTGGGTGCAGTGACATCCCCAGCAATTTCAGAGCACCCATGGGATGTGCATGGTGTGGCACCATCGGCAGGGAGTAGTGTGAGGCATCTCTGTCTCAGTGGGGGCTGGGGACCTCCGTGGTTGCTGTTGCTAAATGATAAGAGAGGTTTCCAGCTGGTGAGCTCACTGAACATGTTGTTTTGTGCTAGTGGTTGCAGGTAACTCCTGGTAAATGCAGGACCTTATAGGTATGTGTGGGTGTAAGGACAAGTGCCAGGTCCTGCCCTTGGGTCACAACAACCCCCTGCAGTGCTCTAGGCTGGGGGCAGAGTGTCTGGAACACTGCTGGCTGGGAAAGGCCCTGAGGGTGCTGGTGACAGAGGCGGAACATGACTCCAGGTGTGCCCAGGTGTGCAAGAAGGCCAGTGGCATCCTGGCCTGTACCAGCACCAGTGTGGCCACAGGCCCAGGGCAGTGCCCATCCCCCTGTGCACTGCTGAGGCACCTCAGATCCTGGGGGCAGTTCTGGGCCCCCCATGACAAGGCTGGAGTGTGTCCAGAGAAGGGAATGGAGCTGGGGAAGTGGGTCGAGCACAAGTCATATAAGGAGTGGGTGAGGGAGCTGGGGGGGCTTGGCCTGGAGAAAAGGAGGCTCAGGGGAGACTTTCTTGCTCCCTACAGCGCCCTGACAGGAGGTGCAGCCAGGTGGAGTTCAGGCTCTGCTCCCAGTGACAGGACCAGAGGAAACTGCCTCAAGTTACATGAGGGGAGGTTTAGATAGGATATTAGGAATAATTTCTTCGCAGAAAGGGTGGTCAGGCTTTGGAACAGGCACCCGGGGCAGTCGTGGATTCACTGTTCCTGGAAGTGTTCAAAAGATGTGTGGATGTGCCACTTGGGGACATAGCTAGTGGGGGGGTTTGGCAGTGCTGTGAAGCAGTTGGACTCGATGATCTTGGTGGTCTTTTCCAACTTAAAAACTTCCATAATTCTATGATTCTGATTCCTGCCTGCTTTAAGAATCTTTGGCTTTAACTACTTTCTACTTGTAGGTTATTAAAGGTGTATGGGGACAAAAAGAGTGGAGAAAAAAAAACCAAGGCAAAACACTGGAGGGTATTGTGAATGGGGGGAAATGTCCTGTTAAAATTGAGTCTTATGAGGGTTGAAGCAAAGGGCTGCTACTACCTGGTGGCTTTCCCTGGCACAGCATTGTCCAGCTTTGCAGCCAGGTCCACTTCTCAGAGATGTGGCAGTGGTTTGTGTGTTTTTCTGCAGCACTCATGTCCTTTCTGTTTCCTTCATGCAGTTGCTCTGAGAAATGGTGCCAAAGAAGCAGAGCGGGATGGAGACTGCAGCAACAGACCAGCTCCAGGCTTGACAGGGGTACCAGAGGGTGAGCTGCTCCTACAGGTTAGTGCTCCTTGCTGGCCACCTCTCCCTGGCAAATGCCTTCAAGGGGTTTTCCTCTTGGTCCCTTTTCCAGCTCCTTTGAATTTGACCCTACAAGCAGGCTGGTCTCCTAGCGATTGCAGGTGTTCTGGTAAAGCTGTGATTTCATGTGGTTTAGCTCATGGTGCTTCTGACTGAGCAGAGGTTTAAGATCTCTGCAGGTCCTCGGGACAGAAATTGTGTTGCTTCTCTCCTGCTTTTCCCATAATTCCTGGAGAAAATTGCTATCTGTAAATTGTCTGGGTGTAGGAAACATCTTGGTGGAAGCAGTGCTGGATTTCTGAGCATGAAGATTCATCTTTTCTGCTTCTCACCCTCACACATAACTGTACCACAGGTGTGATGTGGGAGCCAAGCAGAACAAAGTGTTTGAGTGTGGTTTTCAACATGGGCACACTGGTCCTGACTCGAGGATGTTGTCCAAACACTGGTGAAACAGAGAATAAAATGCCATGGAAGTATTCCCTGATTTTCAGGAAGTGGTGCCTGCACTCAGTACATAGGTGCTGATGGGCCATGTGTTCAGCCCATATACACAGGGTAGGTGGGTGTATCCCAGGAGCTCTGGCTCCCGTGGTGATGCTGGAGACAAGGCTGGTAATGCTGCAGCGTGGTTGTCTGAGCCTGCAGCTTCCATGGTTTATTCAGAGATGCCAGGAGATGCCCTTCTGTCTCCAAACTGTGTGAAGTGAACGGGAAGTGGTCACGCTCTGGCAGCATGAGGTCTTGCAAGGACACAGGTCTCCTTTCCCCACAGGCACAGGCTGCAGCTCTGTCCCCTGCCTAGCTGTCCTCCAGCAAGCATGCTGGTCATCCCCAGCTCCTGTCCAAATGCTCACTCAGCACTAAGTGTAATTACTGTCCTGCTTGAGAGCTGAGGAGCCAGGATCTCCCTGTCTGGTGAGAGAAGTGCTAAAGCCAGGCTGGATCATCACCAAAAAACTGAGGGATTTCTGCTGAGGATATAACAAAACTGCTCAGCAGGGCTTGCCAGGGGTTGACATCCTGCTCATCAGCTCCTCTCAGGCTTGGATTTAGAGGCATCAAGCTGTGTGTTAAAAGCTCTGGGTGTAGGATTGGCTCTCCCAGGACTCATCTGCGTGATTCTGCATGTGTCAGGGGCTAAGAATCCACCTCCATGCCCCGAGGGAATGCTTCTAGTGTTTATAAACCTACTTCCACCTGATCTGTCAGCTCTGACATCCAAACTTCCTTTGTCTCTTGGTCCACTTTGATTCTTCCCTTCTTCTCCTGTGAAACTGCTCAAAGGGTTAAAGTGCTTTTGGCAGCACTAATTAACCTCTGTAGCAGATTCCCACACACTGAGATCAACCCCAGTAAATAGAGAGAGCATTTGTGCCCAGAATAAAGGGAAGGAGAGGGGGAGAAACACCGAACTGGACAATGAAGCAGGAGTTGGCAGCAACAATAGCTGGACTTGGCTGAGACTGCATGCCAGACCCTAATTAATCCTGATGTCTATACATTATGAAGTGGTGGAAGCAGGCCAGGGCTGGCTACTGTGGCTTCCCTGCCAGGTTAGTGCTACAGGATGGTTTTGGTTCTGAATAGCCATAGGACTTCTGGGGTCCATGCTGCAGGATCCCTGCCTTCTAGAGGGCTCCTGTTTTGTGCTGGAAGTGTCCCCATGGGGACTTGTTGCCCTTAGGGAGGGGTGGCCATGTGGTGCTATCACAGTAGTGAAAGCTCTTTGGCTTCTAGGGAAATAAACTGCTGATTTTCTTGGGTTTTCAAGGCATTTACTCTTAGACAACTCTGTGGGCTTGAAGGTGCCTACTAGTTGTCTATCAGGACAACTGGGCTCTGCCACAGAGACTTGTAAAGGTTGGTGCTGTCCCTGCATCACTTAAGGATGCTCCCCTGGATCCTGCCAGTGCCTGTGTTAGCAATGTTCTTTGCCTGTCAGCTCCTGCCTGTTGCCAGAGAGCAGGGATGAAAAGCCAGGGCTTCTGGGACAGCTGCTCCACTCTCAAACTGTAGGGAACCTTCTCTGCACCTTCTAGTCTTCTTCAGGTGCAAAGGACTCTGTCAGCCAATGCCCTGGTCCCTTCTCCTATGTCCTGTCCTGACAGCCTTGGGGCTGCTAGGTAAGGGAAAACACCCAAATTACTTCCCAGATTTATTAAACTGGTAGGAATGAGCCCCTCTTGAAAGGCTCTGCACAGCTCAGCCCATTCCTGCCAGGAAACCCAGTGCTCCCTTGAATGTTGACTTCACAATCCTGGAGCTTGAGGAGAGGGTGAAAGGGCCAGCGAACTGTAAAATATGAAAGTGTGTAACATTAAAAATGCATTGGGAACTTCAGACTGATGGCTGCATTTGCGTTTCTGTGGGAAGGGAGGGCTTGGTGCTTCAAACCCACATGGGCAAAACAGCTTTGAGTATTTTTTGTGTGGAAACAGAGCGCAGCATTCAGCCTGTTGGGCTGGAGGGTGTACATGAACCAGCATGTGCTCCGGAGGAAGAGGAGCTTGTCTGGACTTGATGGTCTTAGAGGGATTCTCCGACCTAAATGACTCTGTGTTTCATTTGCTGAAAGGAAAAAGTACTCCGAGGTCACCCACTGATTCTGCTTTTTTTTCCCCTAAGTTCAGGGATCAGACTCAGCCTGTCTTCCTTCCTGTTTTGGAAGAAATTGACTTGTCAGAAATCAGATATTTTTGCAAAGGTTTCAAAAACCAGACTCTTATGTTTTAGCTTTCATGTTTTCTGTTTCCACTGGTTGAGGCTCTTTCAGCATTTGGCTGGTCACCTCAAGGAAGGGAGCAGGCAGTGGAGATAACATGGACAGTCCAGGTACACCATGGTCCTTCTCCAGGCTATTCCTCTGGCACCCGCAGAGGACAGGAGGGATGCAAAAAAGGATGGGAGCTGGGCAGATTTCTCCCAAACCAGTATCCCCAATCACATGGGCTAAGCAGCAGCAGGGAATGCCTAGCCAGTGCTGGCAGCATGTGGTGATCTGCAGTGGATTTGCTCTCCACTGAACATTCCCTGTTTTTTCCAGCCTCACACTCTCGTGAGCCACACATGGCTGCTGAAACCCTTCTGGGCTGTGGGGAGGATGGAAACTACATGACTAGAACCACTCAGGTAGACATGGGTCAACTTTAAATGCAGCCAACATGAAACGCTGTCTGGATTCAAGGTTGTCGGAAAGGTTTGTTTCCACTAGTTCCTGATGGTGTCCACTTTCCTCCTGCAAGCAGCTCGGAGATTTTTATTTGCTCTTCACATGGGATGAGTATAAATGTCCAAAGCTGAGTCTGAGTGAATGCTCCCAGGGTGGAAACCAAGTTTTCCATTAGTTTGGATTTGGGCAGCTGTATGAAGAGCTGCATGACCTCAGAGAAACCCAGCAGAAGGTATCATCTGTGGCGGTTCCGGTGCCTGCTCCTGGGGCCAGCCAGGACTCGAGTGACCAGTGTCCTGCTAGAGAAGAGTGATGTGAGCATGACATGTACCTGCTGATCTCCTCTCTCCCACAGGCACTCAATGGCTTCGTTCTGGTGGTGACATCAGAAGGGCTGATATTTTACTCCTCGCATACAATTCAGGACTATCTGGGATTTCATCAGGTTGGTGGGACTCCGCTGACTTGCTCTGGTGGGCTTGCAGATTTGATTTTTCCTTGGTGGTGGAGAGTAGCCCTAAGTTCCCTGCAGGGAGAAAGCTCTGCAGGGATCACGGGGTCTTAGGGAGCTGTCTGGGGCTTTTCCTTGGTCTTGTGAATTTGGACCCCATGTTGCCAGATGTGGTCCCCGGTAAGTGCCAAAGGACTTCATTAGTCCATAGATCCTTACCGCCAGCCATGTTGATAGGCCATGAGGTTCCATGGTCATGATGAGATATCTGGGATTCCCTGCCCAGTTTGCTTTGGACACCCACTCCCTTGGTGACTGCTGGTAACTCCCATAAGGTTCCAGTGCTTTCTGGTTATCTTGGGCATTTAGGTAACCTGGAAGGCACTAGATCAGATTCACAGGGCAGTAGGACCTACCTACAGTCCTCCAGCTATTGTGGTTTGGTGTTACTCCCAAACAACTGGCTTTCTCCAGCATCTGGGATAGATGGGAATTGGCTACCTGGGAAGAGGGAGCAAGTCCTAGAGCCTTGTTCTCCCAGGAGCAGTGTAGGTATGGGGTGGTTTTGCTGCTGTTTTGTACCCAAACCCATGTTTTCGTCTCATCCCATAAGTCAGCATTAGGATTTTGAAAGACACCATGTTACAGGAATGAGTGTGTCACAGGGAAGCTGCATTGGCTCTTTAGGATTGAGGGGGGAGGTCAGGTGCAGTGTGGGCAAGGGGTCATTAGACCATCAGCTCTGGTGGAAGGTGTCCAGCCTCATTCAGCCAGGGACACAGTTGAGCACCAGGAAAATTGGGTAAGATATGGTGTGATTCTCAGGAGTATCCTGTGCAGGGCCAAGAGTTGGACTCAGTAATCCTGATGTGTCCCTTCCAACTCTGAATAGTCTGTGATTCTGTGATATAACCAACTAGGGCTGTGACAGGCTGTTTCCGGGTGGGACATGACAACTGGCACCTGGGGTCATGCTGCAGAGCTCACAGGTTGTGTTTTCTCTCTAGACAGATGTCATGCACCAGAGTGTTTTTGAGCTGATCCACACTGAGGACCAGCCAGAATTCAGACGCAACCTCCACTGGACCCTTGACCCACCACATGCTCCCGAGGGTGAGCCTTCTCCAGAAGGTAAACGCAGGCTGGCATCCTGCTTGGCATGAGATGGGTAGCTCCCCAGGTGTGCTGGGAGCCCAGCTCCCTGCCACAGCTTGTTTAGGGCTTGCATCCATGTGGCTCAAGGCATGGCTTCATCCAAATGTGGCTTTTTCTGAGTTTATGTTGCTGTGCTCTGCCAACTACTGCAATGCCCAATGCCAGGGACTTCCAGCCCTTTCTAGTAATCTCCAGCCCTCACTGGGGTGAGTCCTTGCTTGATCCTCTCAGTCCCTCTCTTCAACAGGAGGGAAGAATCTTGGCTCCTCTGATGTCATCTACAAGCCAGATCAGCTGCCCCCAGAAAACTCCTCCTTCCTGGAAAGGAGCTTTGTGTGCCACTTTCGCTGCCTCCTGGATAATTCCTCTGGCTTCCTGGTGAGTACAGACACTCCATAGCAGGAGATGGGAGCAGTCTTACTCCAGGGGTTTATGCCACCGCTGAAACAAGTTGTTCTTGAAAGACCCAGTGTCCCCTTCTGCCATGGGCAGCACCTGCCTGTCTCAGCAAGGGGACTTTTCCTGTTTTTCACAGGTTTGGGCTGTGCCTACAATCTCTCCATGTGGGTTTTGTTCTTCTCTCAGAAATGCTGAATCTTGAACAAAAGTACTTTTCCTCCACATGTTTTGTTGGGTTTTTGTGCTAAAGACATGTCTTAAGACCACATAGGTGGTGTTCCCTCATCCTGTCTGCTGCAAATTAATGTGGAGCACTAGATTTGGAAGGACACATCATGAGGGGTAGTGAGGCACTGGCACAGGTTGCCCAAAGAAGCTGTGGCTACCCTGTCCCTGAAAGTATTCCAGGCCAGGCTGGACAGGGCTTGGAGCAACCAGGTCTAGTGGAAGGTGTCCCTGCCCATGGCAGGAGGTTTGGAAATCGATGATCTTTAAGGTCCTTCCCAACCCAAACCATTCTATGGTTTGATGATTATATTTTTACAGCTCTGCAGCAAGACACCTTGCTTTCCATGCAGCTCTCCTCTCTCTCTTCTCTCTCCATCCACTTTTGTGCATGTCACTGACATTTCCTTCTCTTCCTAGGCTTTAAACCTCCAAGGCAGGCTAAAATTCCTTCATGGGCAGAACAAAAGGTCTGAAGATGGGTCTGCACTATGCCCCCAGCTCGCTCTCTTTGCTATCTCCACCCCCTTGCAGCCCCCATCCGTCCTGCAGATCCGAACCAAGAACATGATCTTCAGGACAAAGCACAAGCTGGACTTCACCCCCTTGGCGTGTGATGCCAAGTAAGCAGCAGAGCTGATTTGAAGGGTGATGCTGCAGGCTACCAGTGTTCCCATCCAAACCCTGCCTGGGTGACACCCTGCCCCAGCTCTGCCTCTGAGCTGGCTGTGTTCTTGGTCTCTTGCAGGGGGAAGATCGTTCTGGGCTACACTGAGGCAGAGCTGCAGATGTGTGGCACTGGCTACCAGTTCATCCACGCTGCTGACATGCTGTACTGTGCTGAGAACCATGTCAGGAGTAAGAGTCCCTTCCCTTGTCCCTGTGCCCACCTTTGAGGCTGATGAGTGAGCTGGGACTACAGGCAGCTCCAT